GCAGATCTGCCCTCACAGAGGAGGGAGAGCTTGTACCTGAAGGCGGGACGGGGGGGGTGGCTCTGCAACTTACCTGGCTGCTTCTTGCTCCTCGTGGCCGGACTGAGGGCTGCTGGGAGCAGGGGGCGGGGCTTGTTGCATGTGCCCGCCCCCTGGGCTCCTTACTGCCGGAGCTCTGCTCCTGTGCGCTCCCACAGGAAATGACCCCTGGACCTCAGCATGGTACAGTGCCATGGAGCCCACCCTTCAAAGGGGCCATTTTCTCCAGGGAGCTGATCTCTGTCATGTGCACGTGCTCCCCGCTGATCAGCTGAAGGGCCCTTTAAATCTTGCAGGAGAGGAGGGAGAGGGGCGGTCACCGGCGGTTGGGCTTGGGGGCGGATTGGAGCGGACATAAAAATAATGACAGCCCCACCAAAAAAATTTTTGCCTCACAAGCCACAAAATCCTGGCTACGGGAGTGCGTAAGGATGGGCTATGTGTCAGTCGTAGAATATCTGGTCTGCGTGCGAAAGGTCCCAGGTTGATTCTCCGGTTGAAAGGGCCAGTTAGGGAATGGATCGAGTCACCCTTTACCCTCTTCCCGGGGAACCGTGTGCTGGGAGAGGCTGTGGGCGCATCCTGTCCCCTCCCTCCCTGTGTCGGTCCGGCTTCTGATCTCTCCCTCTTTGCCACCCAGCTTTCGAGAAACTCCGGGAAATAGCGGTGAAAATCTATGCAAAACTCGATACTGTGTTCAGAGGGAAGACGTACAAGCCAGGTAAGTCTGGTTTGTTTTTCCGCTTTTTAAAAATTATTATTATTGTGGGGAAATTAATTTTGATCTCACCTTTTTGTCATTTTGTTTCTAGCCCCTTTCACCCCCCCTCTTTTCTCTTTCCCCCCCCTTTGAATCTTTTCCTCTCCATCTTTCCTCTGTTTTTCCCTCCTACCAAAATTTATATTGTAATCTCCTTGGAGGGAGGGACCTATCGCTTTGGAAATCACACACAGACAGAGGTCATTTCGGGGGGGATCGCGGGGGATCGTAGTTCCCCCGGTGAGGTGTGGGGGGTGGGGCACATGACGAAGCCCCGCCCCCTGCTTCCGGCCGCCCCGCTTCCGGCCCTCATTCAGCCAGGAGGAGGCAGGAGAAGAGGGAGGGTAAGTTGCTTCCTCCCTGCCTCTCCCCACCCCTGCCTGCCTGGGGCCAG